CTCCCTCCCTCCCTGGGGAGTATAGTTGGGTAACGTTTTCGGATTACGATATCCTGTTTTCCCCAGCATACTCACGGCTGAAATTGGACAGTACATAGGAGGTGACCACTTGCTCCACATCTGGCCGAGGGGCAGCGAGTTGATTTTCAAGAGCTCGCAGATCCCGATTGACCACTGGAACGTCTTGTAGTACTCGCAGGTGTTGGAGGAGACCGCGTCGCGGCACCGGGTCAGCTTGAAGGTCGCCTGTTTTGGAGACACTACTATGTAATGCACGAATGTCTAAAATAATGTGACTGACACTCTGAAACGCCGAGGCTGCTTTGTTTGCCAAGTTGTTGGCATTTCTTTATAATTGCCAACCTGTGGCATTTTTTTTAGAGACGGGCCGATGTGCCACCTCTTTTTGGACTCTTTGAATGTCAAAAATCTGGCATTTCTGAAAAGATTAATGGAGGCCCAAAAATTGGCAGTCTCTAACAAAATGCCAAAATTTAGCACTGCAAATATGTTGGCCAGCTAGCAGGCCTCACAAGTGAGAGACGCTGTGTTGACTCGCCTCGGTAATATCTTTGACGTTCTTGGAGACGACGCAGGTCGCGTTGTACATGAGCTCGCCATCCTTGTTCAGGAAGTAGTTGGTGGCAGGGCAGGACATGATGGGGTGTTCGGGGCAGGTCCTCACGTAGTGAAGGTCCACATGCAGCTTCCACGACGGTGGCGCCTTGGACTTGATACGACCAACGTTACTTTCCGCTCCCATTTTGTTGTTTTTGTTTTTGACCGTTTTACAAAATTTAAGAGGAGCAGATGTAAAAAGCAGCCTCACAAAAAATGTTGTAAAACAAAAGCTGTAGAAAAATGTAAAGCTCTGGAACTTTTCTTTCATAACATTTTTGTGGGACTGCGTTTTGCAACCGCTCCTCTTAAGCCCCAGTGATTCCCGTACCGGGTGTAACTGTGAATACGCAGTGTTCGGCATTGCATACTGACTATGGCCGCAGAGGCCATGGCCCCTTACGGGTGTAAAGAGTAGGCAAGCCCGCAACACTGCTGCGCATTCACAGTTACACCCGGTACATTTCCCTTCCTAAACGTGGTAGTAGCGCCTATAATTTAAGTTGTAAATTTACGACAGCACATTTTTTACTCGCCAAGGGGTTTGAAGTCGATACATACTGCATGTATTTTTACGATTAGAAATTATAATTTTACAACTTGCGTCAAGGAAAATTTTCCTGTAAACCTACCTACTTTTTTTCACAGTGAGCAACCGGACGAAATTTTCGTTCTTTGGACCGCAATTTGACGAGTTACATAGGAGGGTGATGTTGAAACTTATAAAACATATTTGAAATAGCAGCTTTTGGAACGAATGCCCAAAATAACCCCTACACATGAATTTGAGCAAATATTTTTGAGATGAGTCATTTGATGACACATTTAGGCCAACGAGTTTCCAAAGTAGAATAAAAATCGGGAATTTAAACTTGGCGGGATTCCCTTGTCAGTTTTATTTCGAGCGAAAACAGTTTGAAAGCGTTTCGTTACCTTTGGCGGCCGTGCCTGCGAGACAACCACGATCAGGCCCCAGACGACAGCCAACAGCAGGCCTGCTCCCGAGGCCGCCGTCATGACTCTGTTGCGGACAATATTTCTCTTCACACAATAACTGACGCATCGTCAACGACACTACATATTTCTTTTTTTTTCCAACCGAGTAGAAACTATTGTTTACGGGAGAGGTACAGTGCTTTACGGCGCAGCCTCCCACAGCGCCAGCGACAGCACTACACTCCACTACAATGTTGCCGCGCGTGTCTCGGCCGTCGCTCCGCTTCCCCTCCCACTTTGTCCTGATCATGCTCTGCTGATTGCCCCCGTTTTCCGTAACATCCGCTTCACATTAGCGCTGCTGGCATGGCGCGGCTGCGCTGCTGATCGGCACGCGTCACGCAACACCGGCGGCGCCGCGTTGTTCCTCACACGATCTCGGACAAAACACAAAACGAAATAGTGTGGCGGGTGAGTGAAAGTCATCTGTTAACAGCAGCATTTTGGATGATCGGTTGCGAAAATCTTGATCCTGAATAATTATTGTGCGCATCCTCTAGCTCAGAGATAAATGGATGATAATTATTGTTTCTCTTTTCACTGTGAAAAATAATTGGTAGGTTTACAGGAAAATATTTTCTTTGACGCAGTTGTAAAATTACAATTTTTAATCGTAAAAATACATGCAGTACGTAACGACTTCCAATCGATTGGCGAGTAAAAAAATTGCTCTCGTAAATTTACAATTTAAATTATAATTCAAGTTTACAAAAATTTTCTAAAATTACGACGAAATTGTTTTTACTGAGTTTGGGTTTGTTCGTGTGTGTGCATCACACAGACCTAGACAGTTCTACGTAGTGCAGGGTACGTCTGAGCCCTTTACAGGTAGTTACTGCGAGGACTATAGGGCCATTAGCGAGAGGAGCGTGGAGAGAGAGAGAGAGAGAGAGAGAGAGAGAGAGAGAGAGAGAGAGAGAGAGAGAGACGGTTGGCCCATTTCTAGCGTATGCGTAATGCCGAGGCTGGGATGGCGCGCCCTGCTGGTCGCGGGGAATAGAATGGTTTCGGAACAGCGGAGCCCCGTCCTCGACTGTATGTACCCGTCGCTCATTTTACATTCACTCGCTCGCGCTGCTGCTCCCGTGCGTCGTCATGCACACTCGCAATTAGCGCCCGGCGACACGGCGACGCCTTTCAGCGCGCGGCGGGGGCGTTGCGGGCCGCGCGGGGGATGCAAGCAGCCACCAAGCCTTGCAAAAAGAAATAGGAAAGTTCTTTCCGCGTGGTACGTTTCTCTTTCTTTTTCATTTTTGCGCGCGGTTTGTGCTCAGCGAGTCGCGCGCGCACCGCTCGCGGTGCTGCTGCTGCTGCTTCTGCTCTTTGACTTGCATTTCCAGCGGTGCGCGCTCGCCTTGCCCCCTCCCTAACCCCTCCCCTTCGGCAGCGCAGAGACGACACAAACTTGCCGCGGGTTTCACTGACGCGCGTATTTACAAAACTCAGGTCGTCGACACGCGCGGTGCTGCGCTCTACGCTGGTCTGTCGCTACAATCTGTCCGTCCACAAATGAACAAACAATGTGGCATTTTATGACGATAATTATAACACTCTGGAAACCTAAAGCGTGTACATGTACACTCTAAATGTCAAGGGACAATTTTGTCCGTAGATTTGCAACGATTTCGTGCACATCCAGAAAGGATGCAATTTTGTTCCTAAAACTAGACAAATTGTGTGAAACTTCACACAATTTGTCCAATTAAGGGAACAAAATTGCATCCTTTCTGGATGTGCACGAAATCGTTGCAAATCTACGGACAAAATTGTCCCTTGACATTTAGAGTGTACATGTATGAATTATCTCATGAATTACGTATGCAGCAGATAGTGTACATCTGACCACGTAGTCAGTAGATAGTGTGTGCATCCTCATGTATGCATGAGATAGTGTGTATATCTATGGCCAAGTAAACACTTCCAACTTCAGCAGATAGCTTTTAGCATAGGAGGGCATAGGAGGGGAGTGTCTACATACCTGGGGACACTTGAGTGGTCTGTGATTGTAGAAAACTTTGAAAATATTCACATTCACGGAAAACGACATGCAAGTTCCCTGTTGTTCATTGAATACCCGAAGCAGTGCGATACGAGAACCCACACACAATGACCCTGTATGTCCTCTGCTTTTCATTTTATTTTTTTCGCGCGTCAGACATTGTTATAAGTCGTCGATCGGCAGGACGCGCACGTCCTCTCTCGGCTCGGCGGCTGGCAACCTGTGGAGTGGGTGCCACGGCCCGCCCCGCCCCACCCCGCCCCGCCTCAGTATGCGCCGCCAGCCGGCACTAAACCTTGCCTCGCGGAGAGGCGGTACGGTAAGCGCCCAGCAACCACAAAATGAAACGTGCGAATTGCCTGGTGCCTTATTGGCAGAAACAAAGTCAGAGAGATTAAATGTTGTGAAATTGTTTTTACACTGTGAGTTTCTTGCAATGAACTGATCTTCATAACGTTCAAAGGATGTAGAACCTTTGTTGTGAAAACAAATGTATCGTCTTACGAAGGGCTCGGCTTTGTAAGACGAAGAGTACGCGTCTGTCCACAAACTGGCGCTCTTTGTAATACGAAGAAAATTCGTTTTTAATATGGTAGTTCCAGATCCTTTGTTATTCGTTACAAACCCAAGCCTTCGTAATATGAAGGCCACTCTTTGTAAGGAACTAAGAGTGTAGAAGTAAGGCAGACATTGACGGACTGGCATGTTTTGTGCTTCTACGTTTTCGGCGGTACCAACTCATAAGAAATGTACTCGATGTCATGAAGTAATTCTTTCTGTGGCGAGGTAGGTGTACACCCCTCTGCAACGGGGTAAACTGTCCCCAGACGATCGTCTTTGACCATTTACATGGGAGTGGAGGGGGGCAGAGGCAGGGCTTCATAATGGCATGTGTGGCTCTCAATCAATTGCCAGCCCCCTGGCAGCAGCGCACTCTGAGGCCTCTGGAGCCTCTGAAGCCTCCGGAGTCCCCCCTCCCCTCCCCCCGCACACACACACACACACACCCACACACACACACACACACACACACACACACTCGTACGTCCAGAATGGCGACGTGAGGACAGGCAAAGCCGCCTGCTGACGAAGCAGCCCCGAAATCTTTCAGTCGCGGGAGCTTAAACATTCCGCCTGATCTAGATCCAGGCTTCCCCTTACTTCCCAGGCAAACTCGTGAGTTTCCTTTTAGGCTGCGTGAAATAAAAATACACATGTGTTAGCATATTCGTATGTTTTCGGTCGCTGGTGTTTTGCGCACCCGTTTTATCGTATTACATCCGTTTTTCGCCTTGATTTCTGACTGCCTACTACGCCCCCTCCCCCAGCTCGCCCCATTCCTCTCCCCACATTTCCTGCCCGAGATGAGTCTGGCTCGAGCAATTACACAGCTGTGATGGTTTGGGACGCCGAGGGGTACTAGCCGCAACACTTACCCCCTCCTCTATATCCCCGCTCCTCCTGCCCCCCTCCCCCTGCTGTGCCATTTCGATCACCACAGCTACCGCGTCTGCGCTCCCGTCCCGTCACACGGCCCTGCTGCCCCTGCTGCTTTTCGATTTACTCTCTCTCTCTCTTTGCTTCACAAATCCGCCGGTTTTTCCCACGAACCGATACTTGTCGCGGGAACAGTAGTCTTGCCAAAGGTGACCGCGGCTGAACTTGTTCGCTGTTCGAACGGCCCCCGGCGTGCCGCGTATTGTGGATATTCAAACTATTCCGGGCTGTGCATCCACAGCAGCGCGCTTGCGCCGCCGCTCTTGCCTGGTCGATCACGACTCAATTAGACTTATCCGATTACTAACCGCCCATCCCCCCC